GCACAAAGAGGTTCTAGAGTTTATATATGTAGAATTGTTTGTCGTAATCTCATGCATTGCATAAAAAATTGTTTATTGTAGGTCATGGAACGTGTAGAATCTTGGATAAGTGTATTCCAAAGAGAGTTTTGTTGGTAGATTTGTTCATTATAATCGCATATATTGCATGGAATTAAATTTAATCGATTGACAATAATAATATAATAGGCGACGAAAAAGAAAACGGGAAAACTAAGATGTTAACAAATATCTGTGATATTTTTTTAAAGAAAAATTTGCAACAATGATTTGTCCCTGGATAATTATTTTTTGACCAAAAAATTATATAAAAATTGAATAATCTGTTTAACAAAATATCCCAGAAATACTCCATGTGAAACAAAGTACCATAAATTTGATGAAAATAACTTTGTTAGGTCTCTTTCACCATTATAGCGATTCAATTTAGTTTGCTTACATTTTCATTTATGGATTCACGTAGTTATAATTGACGGGTTTATAGAAATTTTTGATTATTATGTAATGCAAGTTGATGACGCCAAACTCATGCAACAAATATTTATGGATTTAACAAAATATCTCGAAATATCTAAAATAATACTCCATATGAATTACAAACACAAGTTTGATGAAAATGATATCTGTAAGGTCCCTTTTCATAATTATAGTAATTCAATTATTTTGGTTTAGATCTATATCTACATAGATTCACATAGTTATCTTCATTTTTTTTTAACTGGATATTTGTGTCAAAAAATGATTTCGAATTTAGATACAGTCAAATCGAAAAATTTAAAATACGGACTAATTCAAGTTTTAGTTGTGGAATATATAAGTTCAACATAATTTCATTCACTATTGTTTTGTCTTAAAAATTAATGCATGATTTAGACCATCTACTGACTAAACTAATATCATGAAGTTTTTTTTTTATTAGTTGGGAACAAAATTAAAGTGATTAAAGGGAAAAAGGTGGAGAAAGAGGAATATTGAAGCGAAACGATAAACGTACCACCCAACTTATAGACACTAGAAACGCATGACAAGCTCAAATATTATCTACTTTTCAGTTTCACTAAATGGAA